AAAAAAAAAAAAAAAGAATCTACTATTGGAAAACAACCCTCAAAAGCTACATTTCCAATTCAGTCCAATCCCCAAAAGCTTCCTTTCCAATTCATACCCATTAAACACCACTCCTTATTGGGTAGGTGGGGGGCGGGGCTCACCAAGGCTTCGGGCAGGGTGGACAGTCCAAAAGATATCTAAGCAAGTAGTTTGGTTCTTCATGCGTCGGTGACACGTACAATCTATTAGAGAGCTGTTCCTGAGTTGCTGTGCTGCCTCTAGGCAGTCTGCAGACACAGAAGAGTCCTCTGAGGGCAATGGGGTGCTCAGAGTAGAGGCACAAGAGCCCAGGTGGTGGTAAGCAGCCTTGCAAATGGGATTGGCCTGGCACTTCCTTTTGGCCTGGATACAGCTGTTCATGAGTCGGCTCTCTGTGGGAAGGGAGTCTCCTGTAGAAGGAAAGACTGGATGAAGCTCACATAAGGTCAGAGAAACTGTTTAGAAACATTAAGCCATAAAATCGAGTATGAGAGACTACAGATAAATCCTTGAGAAACATCTTGGGTTAACTTAAAATGCCTTTAAGAATAGGTACAGAAGGCCAGGTGCTGGTGGCTCACACCTGTCATCCTAGCTACTCAGGAGGCTGAGATCTGAGGATCTCAGTTTGAAGCCAGCCCAGGGAAGGAAAATCTGTGAGACTCTTTTATCTCCAGTTAAAACACCAAAAGCCTAAAAGTGAAGCTGTCGCTCAAGTAGCAGAGTGCCAGCCTTGAGCATAAAAGCTCAGGGACAGTGCTCAAAACCTGAGTTCAAGCCCCAGGATTGGTACACATGCACAGAGCCAACCAAGTGTAAGAAGAAATGTCAGGACAGTCTGCTCAGCCTCAAGAAGATGGGGGAAGCCAATTGCTTGAGTAACTATGTGAGAGCGAGGAGTCTTTCCACAAACATCACTTAGACAAAGAGATTGCTAATACCCAACTCTGGATTTCCCCTGTTTGGGTGAGTCTGTTTTGCTACCTTCCTTTCTTCTTTTTAAAAGTACTTTCCTTTTTAAAGTATCATTTAGTTAAAAATAAAAAGCACCACTTAAAGATAGGTTCTTAAAATTTTTTCCACATTAAGGTAGTTGGAACTAGAATGAGGGGGTATTTCCAAAATTAAAAAAAAGAGGGGGGCAGTAATTTGATCCTGTTGCTCAGAAACAACTATAAGCAATGGTTGCTTATAAATTCAGCCCTCCAAAAGTCTGCATTCTGGGACTTCGCGTTCCCATCATGAGTAATAGAACACTGCTTCTCCATAGCTGTTTACAGTAAACAAATTCTAGCAATCATTCTTTCTTTCTTTCTTTTTTTTTTGGTCAGTCGTGGGGCCTGAACTCTGGGCATGGGCGCTGTCCCTCAGCAATTCAGCTCAAGGCTAGCGCTCTACTACTTGAGCCACAGCGCCACTTCCAGCTTGTTCTGCTTATTTGGTGCTGAGGAATCGAACCCAGGGCCTCATGCATGCAAGGCAAACACTCTACCACTGAGCCATCTTCCTAGCCCTAGCAATCATTCTTAACTCTCTATGGTGTGTGTGTGTGTGTGTGTGTGTGTGTGTGTGTGTGTGTGTGTGTGTGTGTACGTACATGTGCGTACCAGTCCTGGGCACTATTAAAGAGTTTTTTTTGCTAAAGGCTGCAGCTCTACTAAATGATCCACAGCTTTACTTGAGGCTGCTTTTTTTGGTGGTTCACTGGGGATAAGAGACTCACAGACTTTCCTTCCCAGCTGGCTTCAAACTTGACTCTTAGATCTGCACCTCCTGGGTATCTAGGCTTATAGCCATGAGCCACCTGCATCTGCTGTATATCATTCTTAATCTATATTCAATCCAAGTCCTGCCAACTCAACAATGTATCTGAAATCTGTCCACTTTTCTCCATGTTGGTGTCACCTCCCTTAGCCTGGTCTCCTTAGTAGTTCCCTGATTTCATTTTCCAAACTCTTCTCAAGCTAATCTTGGTATCTTTTTGTTTAGTGGGAAAAAAAAGTTGTTAGAAAACTTTTTATTGGGGTAAAAGTCATACAACATAAAATTAGCTTTCTCAACGTGTACATTTGGTGCCTAAGTGGCATAATTCACAATGTTGTATGACAATCGCTTCTAATTCCAATACATTTTCATCATCTTAAAAGAAAACTCATGGGTTGGGAATGAGGCTTAGTGTTAGAGTGCTTGCATAGCATGCAAAAAGCCCTGGGTTCGATTCCTCAGTACCACATAAACAGAAAAAGGCAGAAGTGGTGCTGTGGCTCAAGTGGTAGAGTGCTAGCCTTGAGCAAAAGAAGCTCAGGCACAGTACCCAGACCCTGAGTTCAAGCCCAGGACTGGGAAGGAAAAGAAGGAAGGAAGGAAGGAAGGAAGGAAGGAAGGAAGGAAGGAAGGAAGGAAGGAAGGAAAGAAGGAAAGAAGATTTACAGAAGGGTTATAGTTACATAATCCAGTTCCTTTAGGAAGAGTGAAAATGCTCAGGGCTACAAAGTAACAACTGCAGCTGAGTTATGACTGCCTCCTTTTGGTAAATCTTGCCCTTGCCAATTTGTCATAATCCCTTCATTCTCTACCTTACATTCCCCTCATTTATGCTACTGCTGCTATATATAATTCCTCCTTCTTAGCATCCTGATTTACTGACTTTGTTTTCTTGGTTCACAAGAGAGTGAGTAGTTGTAAATGGGACAGATCCATCCATGCTCTGAGACACATGATTTGTTTTGCCACAGTAAGGTCTCTAGCACTTAACAAGTGGATGAACAAAGAAAAGTAACATGCATCAGCAGATGTAGCAAGTCAAGGCTAGGTCAAGCTTAAACTGAACACATTGGTGCATGCCTGTAATCCCAGCACTGACGAAATAGGAGGATCTTAAATTCGAGGCCAGTTTGGGCTACATTGTCTCAAAGAATCTAGGGCAGGGAATCTAGCTCAGTGGTGAAATGTTTACCTAGTGTAAACAAGGTCTTGGGTTTGCCACCACCACCACCACACAAAAAAAAACAACCCTAGGTCAAGGTTAGAACCAAGAACAGTTTCATATCTAGTTTCGAATGAGTACATGATGCTACCCTTCTATGTGAGTCAGAGTTCTCCTTAATGAGCCTGAGAAGTGAGCATTGTCTACTCAACCGCTGAAACACTGTTGGTCTGTGCTTTGGGGCAGCCTTTGGCCCTACATGGAAGCTCTTGAATGACTGAGATAGAGGTTTTTAGAAACCATTGCTGTTGATGATTATGTGGAATAGACCTGTCAATCATTTTGCTTTGCTAATTAGTTAATGATGAAGCTGTCTGTCCTGGACCCTGACATGAAGCCATACGTTAGAGTCAGTGGAGTTTCCTGAGCAATCAGATCAGATTGCTGATGTCTTGTTGCCAGATTTGCTGATGGACCCAGTCTAGACAGACTAGTCTTTTCCCTCAATCCTTCCACACCTACTTCACAGACAAAATTGTATTTTTTTCCCATTTTTGAGAGTCTCACTATGTTTCCCAGGCTGACTGCAAACTTATGTTATTCCTGCTTCAGCTTCCTTTGTACTGGGATTAATTAGAGCACAGTGCCCAGCTGATTTCCCTGTGGGGCTTGAACTCAGAGACTGGGTGCTGTCCCTTAGCTTTTGTGCTCAAAGCTAGAACTACACCACTTTCAGCTACAACTCCACTTCCAGTTTTCTGGTGGTTTGTTGAAGATAAGAGTCTCAGGACTTTTCTGACTGGGCTGGCTTTGAACCAGAATCCTCAGAGCTCAGCCTCCTGAGTAGCTAGGATGACAGGCATGTGCCACCAGCACCTGGCTGGACTGTAGAACCACTTTGTCAAAAGAGGTGGTAGAGAAAAAAATGTGTATCTGCCTCAAGATTCTTTCCACACAGGAGCTGTCAGGAAGAACAGAAGTGCTCCCCACAATGAGATTCCATGCATCTATTCCACTCTCCACAGCCCTTGGTATTTTCTTTCTTTTTTTTTTTTTTTGGTCAGTCGTGGGACCTGGGCACTGTCCCTCAGCTCTTCAGCTCAAGGTGAGCACTCTACCACTTGAGCCACAGGCCACTTGTGGCTTTTTCTGCCTATGTGGTGCTGAGGAATCGAACCCAGGGCCTCATACATGCAAGGCAAGCGCTCTACCACTGAGCCACCTTCCGAGCCCGCCATAGGTATTTTCTAGAGATTATGGTACTTTTTTTCCAGGCTGCTCTTTCTCAGGGGAGGGACATAGTTCTAAAATCAGATGTTTGACTAGATGCCACAAAATTTACTGTAATCTATTACTCCCAAGGCCAGGCATTGTGCTGGGAAGCTTGCTGGGGAAAGTCCATCTTTCTCTAGCGGGAGTTTTCCACATAATTTAAAAATTATATCTCAAGAAGGGATAACAAAGCTGGGCACCAGTGGCTCATGCCTATAATCCTAGCTACTCAGGGGGCTGAGATCTGAGGATCCGATACTCTTATCTCCAATAAACTTCTAGAAAACTGGAAGTGGCACTGTGAATCAAGTGGTAGAGCGCTAGCCTTGAGCTGAAGAGCTGAGGAACAGTGCCCAGGCCCAGAGTTCAGGTCCTACAACTGAGGGGGGAAAAAAGTTAAAAATTTAATAGAAAAAGTTTAATTAAAAATGTATCTTAAAGTGTGGAGAAAAGTGAGGGGCAAGGAGGGGACAGAGTAGTAGTAAAATTCTCAACAACAAGGCTGGGAATGTGGCTTAGTGGTAGAGGGCTTTCCTAGCATACATGAAGCCCTGGGTTCCATTCTTCAGAACCACATAAACAGAAAAATCCAGAAGTGGCACTGTAGCTTGAGTGGTAGAGTGCTAGCCTTGAACAAAAGCAGCTCAGGGACAGTACCCAGGCTCTGAGTTCAAGCCTCAGGACTGGGGAAAGAAAAATCTCAACAACAATGCAACTAAACAATGATGTTAGCAAGTTCTGAATTTACAACTATAATCTGTAACACATTCGTGCTAAAATTAAATAAATAAAAATCCCTTTCTTCATCTGTACCCAGTTTCTACTTTCTCAGCCCTGTACGGGGATGAAAGAATTGAAGGTCACTTAGAGCCGAGGGAAGTCCTGCTTCTGATTGAGTTTTGCTGGCCTCCTAGAGATGCTGTTTTGATACTGTGTAGACACACCTCAAAAGCAGGAAGAAGTAGAGCAAGCAGGTGCTGGAGCACCCAGGCCATTGCTGGCACTCAATCTCCATCAGCTCAGACACCGGAGAAGGCGCGGGAACCAGCCGTTTCCTGGCACCCCGATCTTTCCTCCTCCAAGAATCCAGAATCAGAAGGATGCACCCCGCGGCACCCAAGGTGGCCTGAAGTTACCTGGGCCCCTCCCACACGCTCACTTTGACCTGCCTTTCCAGCCCGGCACAGAGCCGCTTACCTGCTCCGAGTGGTAGCGGCAGCAGCAACAGCAGCAGCAGCAGCAGCAGGACCACGAGTGGCGGCGGCCGTGGGCTCTGGGGGCGCCCCATAGCGTGGGCGCGGGAGGGATCCAGGTTTCGGCCCCCCTGGGCGTCCTGCCTGTGCGGGGTGATGTGTTCCCCTGGAGCCTAGCGCTGTGAGCCGGACTCCCAGCGCCGGCGCCTCCCACCCCGCTCCCGCCCCTGCTGGCGAGCAGCGGGCGCCCTCAACTCCCCCACCAGGGTCCCGGGCGCCGCCCTCCCAGTCCGAAGCGCGGCCGGCCGCCCCTCCTCGGCGCCCGGTGCGCGCGCGGCCAGGGTGGCGTGGGTGCGGGAAAAGGGTGAGCCACCCGAAGCTGCCCACCTGAGGTCTGCTGTCAACTTCCCGGAGCAAGATGGTGACAGCTGTAACTCAGAGCTCCCCATCTCCGGGAGACAGAGATGGCTGTAAAAAAGAAAATGAAAACGCTAGGTGGAAAATGAACTATACAACTTGTGGGAGGGGACGGGAGGGGAAAAAACTGGGAAGGCGCGAAGGTGGGGGTGACCTTGTCCAGAAAGAAATGTATATTCTGACTTTATGTAACTGTAACCAGT